ACCCAACTGGGAGCCACCTCAGAGGGCGCAAAGAGCCACATGCGGCTCCAGAGCCACCGGTTGCCGATCCCCACCCCATGCACAGGCAGGAAGCCCTGTGCCATTCCGGACAAATTGGCCCTCCGACACAGGTGGTTCTTGACTTACAACCGTTCATTTAGTGACCATTTCAGGCGACAATGGTGCTGGGAAAAATGGCTTACGACCGTTTTTCACAGCTACAACCTTTGCACAGTTACGACCCCCCCCCAAAAAAAGTCCAATTTGGAGGGGGGTCTCACACCCCCAAAAATCAGACGTTTGGCATCTGACTCAGACTTATGATGGTTGCACTGTCATAAGTCTGAGTCACACACGATTCCCCTTTGGAGACCTTCTGACAAGCCAAGTCAATGGAGAAGCCCAATTCCCTTTATGACCGGGTCGCTCGCTTATCCACCGCCATGAATTCACTTAACAACGGAGGCAGGGGAGGTCGCGACACGGGGGCAAAACTTGCTCAGCCAGTGTGCAACGTAATTAATGTTGTGGCCATTACGTCGAGGACGACCTGTGCTAATGACGGCAGCACCACATATGTTCCCCGAATCGATGGCATGTTAGAAAACTACTTGAAAAAGTGGTTTTAGGAGCCGGGGGTGAAGTTCTGAAGACACCAAGATCCCGCCACCTCTTTGGAGCCAGCCCCTTGGCCCCTCCCAGCCTGCCTGGCACCAGGGTCAGAGGTGGGTATTCAGCCAGTTTGGACCAGTTCTGGAGAACCGGTAGCGGAAAATTTGAGTCGTTCGGAGAACCGGCCAATCCCGCCTCTGACTGGCCCCGCCAACCCCATCTCTCTTCTCCGCCTCCCATTGAGTCCCAGCTGATCGGCTGGGGCTCCTTTGGTTGCCCTGCACAGGAGAACGGAGCTGGAAAGCAGGTTATAGAAAGGTGGGGAGGGAAGAGGGATTTTGCAGTATCCTTCCCCTGCCACGCCCACCAAACCACGCCCACAGAATGCTACGCCTACCAAGCCACGCCCACAGCTGATCGGCTGGGCCTCCTTTGGTTGCCCTGCACAGGAGAACGGAGCTGGAAAGCAGGTCAGTGGGGTGAGGAGCAAAGGGGGATTTTGCAGGATCCTTCCCCTGCCACGCCCACCAAGCCACACCACGCCCACCAAGCCACACCCACAGAACCAGGAGTAAAGAAATTTGAATCCCACCACTGGCCAGGATACCCACCTGCCTTGCTGCAGTCCACGGTGAAGGTGTTCTTCTGGCCCACGAAGGCCTTGCTTAAGCCGGGCCCACGGGCGACCACCTTGCTGGCATCCGAGGAGAACTTGGGCAGGGCACTGTAGCTGCCGCCCACCGAGGAGGTGGCCTTGGTGACCGTCTCCACCAGCACCGTGGACGTCTCGTGGAGGCTGTGGCCACCGGACAAGCGGGGACCTGGTGGAGGGGGGGGCAGAGAGAAAAAAGGGGGAGAACCATCACCCAGGGCCATCTTCACAGGTGGAGAGACCACAGGTGAGTTGTGCACCTGCCCTTGGATGGCCGCTCCTTAGATTGAGAATCTCTTCGATATCATCCCACGATTATTCTGAATCGGTTTTGTGTTTGCATTTGTCAGCCCAGCCCCAAAATATTGTCCCTTTTTCTCGATCCTAAAACCAGGCTTAGATTAAGTCTTAGATTAAGAATCGAGGGAGTCTTTTTAATATCATTCAGAAATTATTATTCTGAAACAGTTCTGTGTTTGCATTTGTCCACATAACCCCCAAATATTTCACCTTTTTCTTAAACCTAAAACCAGACTTAGATTAAGTCTTAGATTAAGAATCAAGGGGATCTTTTAAATATTATTCCATAATTATTCCGAAACAGTTTTGTGTTTGCATTTGTCAGCGTAGCCCCTAAATATTTCACCTTTTTCTCAAACCTAAAACCAGACTTAGATTAAGTCTTAGCTTAAGAATCAAGGGAGTCTTTTAAATATTATTCCATAATTATTCAGAAACAGCTTTGTGTTTGCATTTGTCAACATAGCCCCCAAATATTTCACCTTTTTCTTAACCCTAAAACCAGACTTTCGATTAAGAATCAAGGGGAACTTTTTAATATCCTTCAAAAAGAGGCAAATGATTATTTCTGAAACCGTTTTCTCGACCGTAAGAACCAGACTTTTTAGTCAATAAAATCACAATCCTTGACAGGACACGTTCTTAATCAACATTGTTGATTTCCTGTTTATTGGAAAACGGGGGGGGTGGGGTGTCTTGCAGGAATGTACCCAGATCATCAGTAAACAGCAACCTTGTGAGGTTGGTAAGGTTGAGAGAGAGAGTTGAGGGACTGGCCCGAAGTCACCCAGTGGCTTTCATGCTTAAGGTGGAACTAGAATTCCCACATCTCCTGGCGACTGACCTAAAATCACCCAGCTGGCTTTCAGGCTTAAGGCGGGACTAGAACTCACCGTCTCCTGGTGATTGGCCCAAAGTCACCCAGGTGCCTTTCAAACCTAAGGCAGAACTAGAACTTCCAGTCACCTGGTGATTAAACCAAAGTCACCCAGCCGGCTTTCATGACGAAAGCGGAACTAGAACTCACCATCTCCCGGTGATTGATCCAAAGTCACCTAGCTGGCTTTCATGCCTAAGGCAGA